CTTTAACAACAGGAGTAGGCTTACCCTGTTTACATTTGAAGTCCTCGTGTTCTTCACTCAAACACCACTTATTTACTACATTTTTTTCATAATTAGTCACAAATATATGCAAATAAGTGCTCAAATCTCCAAACCCATTTAGTACATGATTAGTAGATTCACTTCGAGATGTGGCTTTCAATCCAGCACTAAACACATCATTATTAAAAGCTGTAGACCACATGTGTCGAATATTATAAAGATTCTTCAACCACTTGTGTTCTTCTACATTGTGCATTGTAAGCATCATCTCCCATGTTTTATCAAATTCAGTAATAGAATCACATTCGGACATACACTTGTTAAAAAGTTTAGAAAAACCTTTATCATTCTTAAGTGAGCCCAAATGAGATGGAGCATTCTGAGATATATGCCATTGACATAATCTATGTCTAGTGCCAGACATCACTTCTCTAATGGCAATTGCCATTGCTTGAACTTGATCAGTTATAATAGTTTTCGGGGCAATACCTCCCATTGACTTTAAAAATGTAGAGAACAACCATTTGAAAGATTCTGCAGACTCATCAGATAAAAATGCACAACCAAAAATTATATTCTGCCAGTGATGATTTATTCCAATAAATGGTGCACAAATCATACGATACTTATTTGTTCGATATGTGGTATCAAAAGACACAACATCCCCAAATATCTCATAGTCAATTCTAGATCGACCATCTCTCCAAAAGAAATTAGCTATACGTCCTTCCAAATCAAGTTGAACATCCCAATAAAAGAGTGTCTCATTTGCTTGTCTGTTATTAAATTCATTAACAACACTTTGAGCATCCCCAGCTTCCACCTTAGATTTTATCAACTGATGTATAAAATTAAAACAATCCTTCTTTGAATAACCTAAAACATCAACCCCTCCAGCTTCTTCTGCCAAGTAAGAATAAGTTGCAGTCGGCTTTATACCAGCATTAACCATATTTTCAATCACTAGCCCTTTGGTTTTAGTTATTCAACGAGCAGATCTTAACAAGTGTCTCTTTTTCGGTGAAGCCATCTCATGATTATGCTCTTTAACAAATCT